CCGACACCGCCTCCAACTTTAGGATCTTTCCTCATTCCCACCATATAACACAATGTTAGTCATTTATTCCAAATATCACATAAACAACTTATATTGCATTATTTAACCATACAAGATATTCATCATATTTTTCAATGATTCTAAACTACTTTCATCATGAGTTTACCACCATTTAAAACATACATATTCATCTTGTATTTCAACATTATAAGGTAAACTCGTCTTCTACCTCTAACATTTTACCCATTTTCCAACTTAACCTCATTTTCACTTTAGGGTTTTGGGGTTTTCATGAACCAACCCACAAACTCTTTCCATTTTCGAAATACTAACTCTAACCCAAGAGTTTACAAGAGAAAAACCACATAAAACGAACCATAACTCAAAAGGGTGAGTTTCCATGGTTTCTCATATTTTGATAAGAGATCCAACATACCAAAAATGAGTTTCAAAGAGAATAAGAGAGTTGGAATAGAGAGTTTTACCTCTTCTTAAGCTCTTGGACGAGAATCAAAGCTCCTAGACCTTGGGAATGCTCTCTTCTCTCACCTCTCTTCAATTCTTAACCTAAAAATGTATTTGGGGTTTCTCTCATTTAATGCTCTCATCGGGCTCTCGCTTAAGTGAGCTCATTCTCGCTCAATCGAGAAAATCCCGCCCATTTTAAAAACTCAAATCTGACTCTCTCGCCCAGGCGAGGCATCTCTCGCTCAAGCGAGGATCTTACAGCATCGACAGGTCCAAAAACATCATTTTTCTCGCCCAGGCGAGCCAATCTCTCGCTCAGGCGAGACCACTCTCGCTCAGGCGAGACCACTCTCGCTCAGGTGAGCCAATTCTCGCTCAGGCGAGAATCCTTCCGTATAGCCCAGAATTTCACCCTTCCAGTTGAGCCTTTCTCGCCCAGGCGAGCCAACTCTCGCTCAGGCGAGACCTCTCTCGCTCAAGCGAGCCAGCCCCCGCTCAGGCGAGAATCCTTCATTATAGCCGAGGATTTCACCCTCCCAGGTAGGCCTCTCTCGCCCAGGCGAGAATCCCTCGCTCAAGCGAGAATCCCATGACTGATACTATAATTTTAAATACTTAAAATTAGGGTGTTACAAATAACTTATTGACTGACATACTAACTAACTTATTGATGTACTTACTTACTGAATGACAGACTTATTGACTGATTTACGGACAATCTAAGTTATTTTCTTACTGACTTCCTAGCTCACTAACTGTATGACTGACTTATTGACATACTGAAAGAATGACTTACTAATTTATTGAATATCCTACTAATTGACTTCTTCACTTACTAACTGACTTAGTTATAGACTTACAAACTGACTTACTTACTTACTAACTGAATTATATGCTCACTAACTAACTGAATTACTAGCTCACTTATTGACTGACTTAATAACTGACTTACTTATTGACTGACATATTGACTTATTTATTGTCTTACTGACTGACTCACGGACTTACTGGCTTACTGAATAACTTACTAACTGACTTACTAACTAACTTATTGATGTACTTACTTACTGAAAGATGGACTTATTGACTGACTTACTGATTGACTAAGTTATTTTATGACTGACTTACTAGCTCACTTACTGTATGACTGACTTATTGACATACTTAAAGAATGATTTACTGACTTACTGAATAACTTACTAACTGAATTCTTCACTTACTAACTGACTTCTTCACTTACTAACTGACTTACTTATGGACTTACTGACTGATTGACTGACTTACTGACTAACTTACTAACTGACTTACATACAGACTAACTTACTTGACTTACATACTAACTAACTTACTGACTGACTTACTGACTTATTTATTGTCTTACTCACTGACTTACTAGCTTACTGAATAACTTACTGACTGACTTACCAACTAAATTATCGATGTACTTAGTTACTGAATGACAGACTTATTGTCTGATTTATTGACTGACTAAGTTATTTTGTGACTGACTTACAAGCTCACTTACTGTATGACTGACTTACTGACATACTTAGAGAATGACTTACTGATTTACTAAATAACCTACTACTGACTTCTTCACTTACTTACTGACTTACTTATGGACTTATTGACTGACTAACTTACTTACTAACTGAATTATATGCTCACTAACTGACTGACTTACTAGTTCACTTATTTCCTGAATTAATAACTAACTTACTTACTGACTAACTTACTGAATGACTTACTGACTTATTTATTGTCTTATTGACTGACTCACTGACTTACTGGCATGCTGAATAACTTACTGGCTGACTTACTAACTAACTTATTGATGTACTTACTTAATGAATGACAGACTTATTGAGTGATTTACTGACTGACTAAGTTATTTTCTTACTGACTTTCTAGCTTACTTACTGTATGACTAACTTACTAACATACTTAAAGAATGACTTACTAAATAACTTACTAACTGACTTCTTCACTTACTAACTGACTTACTTATGGACTTACTGACTGACTGACATACTTACTAACTGAATTATTTGCTCACTAACTGACTGACTGACTTGCTCACATATTAACTGACTTAATAACTTACTAACTAACTAACTTACTGACTGACTTAATAACTTACTAACTAACTAACTTACTGACTGACTTACTGACTAATTTATTGTCTTACTGACTGCCTTACTGGCTTACTAACTTATTGATGTACTTACTTACTGAATGACAAACTTATTGACTGACTTACTGACTGACTAAGTTATTTTCTGGGTGACTTACTGGCTCACTTATTGTATGACTGACTTACTAACATACTTAAAGAATGATTTACTAACGTACTGAATAACTTACTAACTGAATTCTTCACTTACTAACTAACTTCTTCACTTACTAACTGACTTACTTATGGACTGACTGACTGACTGGCTGACTTACTGACTAACTTACTAATTGACATACATATTGACTTACTTACTTGACTTACATACTGACTAACTTACTGCCTGACTTATTGACTTATTTTTTGTCTTACTCACTGACTCACTAACTTACTGGCTTACAAAATAACTTACTGACTGACTTACTAACAAACTTATTGATATACTTACTCACTAAATTACAGACTTATTAACTGATTTAATGAATGACTAAGTTATTTTCTGACTGACTTACTAGCTCACTTACTGTATGAATGACTTACTGACTTACTAAATAACTTAGTAACTGACTTCTTCACTTACTAGTTGACTTACTTATGGACTTACTGACAGATTGACTTACTTACTAACTGAATTATTTGCTCACTATCTGACTGAATTACTAGCTCACTTATTGACTGACTTAATAACTGACTGACTTACTGACTTATTTATTGTCTTACTGACTAACTCACTGACTTATTGGCTTACTGAATTATTTACTCACTTACTAACTTATTGATGTACTTACTTAATGAATGACAAACTTATTGACTGATTTTTTTACTGACTAAGTTATTTTCTTACTGACTTACTAGCTCACTTACTGTATGACTGACTTATTGACATACTTAAAGAATGACTTACTGACGTACTGGATAACTTACTAACTGACTTCTTCACTTACTAACTGACTTACTTATGGGCTTACTGACTGACTTACTTACTTATTAACTGAATTATTTGCTCACTAACTGGTTGACTTACTAGCTCACTTATTGATTGACTAAATAATTGACTTACTTAATGACAAACTTACTTACAAACTTACTGACTGACTTACTAACCTATTTATTGTCTTATAGACTTACTCACTGACTTATTGGCTTCCTGAATAACTTACTAACTGACTTATTGATGTACTTACTTACTGAATGACAGACTTATTGACTGATTTACTGACTGACTAAGTTATTTTATGACTGACTTAATAGCTCACTTACTATATGATTGACTTAATGAGATACTTAAAGAATGACTTTCTAACTTACTGAATAACTTACTAACTGATTTCTTCACTTATTAACTGAATTATTTGCTCACTGACTGACTAACTAACTTATTTATTGTCTTACTGACTAACTCACTGACTTACTGGCTTATTGGCTTACTGACTAACTTACGAACTGACTTACTAACTAAATTATTGATGTAGTTACTTAATGAATGACAGACTTATTAACTGATTTACTGACTGACTAAGTTATTTTCTGATTGACATACTAGCTTACTTACTGTATGACTGACTTACTGACATACTTAATGAAAGACTTACTGACTTAATGATTAACTTACTCTCTGACTTCTTCATTTACTAATTGACTTACTGACTGACTTACTTACTTACCAATTGAATTATTTGCTCACTAACTAACTGACTTACTAGCTCACTTAATGACTGGCTTAATAACTGACTTACTTACTAACTGGCTAACTGAGTTATTTATTGTCTTACTGACTGACTCATTGACTTACTAATTAACTTATTGATGTACTTACTTATTGAATGACAGACTTATTGACTGATTTACTGATTGACTAAGTTATTTTCTGACTGATGTAATGCCCACAATTTTATATTCTTTTAATACGTGAACGAAAAATATTGATTTACTTTTTTTAGACATATATTAATAAAAGAAATATGGTTTTGTTTTTGTAGATCTATCTAAAAATAGATAGATAAGATTTATAGATGAGTTGTAGATCTTTTGATGTTTATCCAATAAGTTTATGATTTATGTCATATTAAAATAACTTAATTGGTTATCTTGTAGTCAAGTAAATCTTTATCTTCTAAAGGTTAAGATTGTTTCAAAATATATTTTAGAATATAAATTGCACTATACTATATTATTAAAGGAGTCACATATTTTGGGTATACGTGGTGAAGTTGTATTAAATATATTTTATGAGTATAATAATTTATTAAATAACATGATTGATAATATTTATTTTTTATAACATGATTGATAATATTTATTTTTTATAACATGATTGATAATATTCTATATATAATATAAGAAGGCCAACACTAAAAAATTTCTCTATCATCTTCCCTTTCTCTTCATAACCACTGTCAACACTGCTCTCAAATTCTCTATTCTACTCATGTTACAAAAACATCAAAAATAACGCTGCTAAGAAAAGGTAAGGCTTTTCTATGGTAACTTCTATTTCTTTTCCGTTCTTTTGCTCTGTTGAGTCCCTGTTTTTTTTTAATTCATAAGTTCTTTTGCCTTTCCTTTCTATTGAGATAAAGTCATAAACTTTCACGCATACACTAACTCTCAAGCAGTAACTCAATGGGTAGAAATAGTACTTCAAATAAATATTCTTTTAATGGAACACATGTGAAGAATCACCTTAATGTGGATCTAGGCATAAAGCTTCATATCCCTTACCCCTGTAGGTTGTTCAATTGGTTTCTATTCAGAATTTTAATTTACAAAAAGCTTTTCTCAAATGGTTGTTGATTTATGATTGCATCTAAACAAACAACTTGGCAATAACAACTAGATTAATGATTTTGTGAAGAAGATTATTTTCCATTCTTGCTTTTAAACAAAACAGAGAGCCCCTTGTAATTTTAGAAATCTTTATTCCTAATTTTATATAGATATTGTTTCTAATTAGAAGGTCACGTTGCAGTATATGATAAATGTAATATACTTTTGAAGTATATGGGTCTTGTGCATCTGTTTCTTTAAGTATAAAATTAAGTATGTGCATTTTTATAATAATTGATTTGATGGTTAGAAAAGAAAATTTCCTTTGTTTTCTTCAAGCCCTCAATTACTTAGATTTTCATCCTACTTTAAGATTTAGTTTTGAAGCAGCCTAATTTGGATTTTGTAGAAGTATAACCTTGTTGTATGCCTTTTAATTTTGAAATGTGCTTAAGTCTTTGGGTTGTTTGAATTGAATGTTATTTGATTGTTTGATAAAGTGATGATGCTTTGGTCAACTGGATGCTAGCTGTGACATTCATGATGGTGCAACAAGATGAAATTATGATGAAATAAAGCGGCTAAGGTGAGGGAGAAGACCATTGTGGTTTTAGAGTATTTCATTAGAGTTATATTCTCCGATTTCCCTCAAGAATCGGAGAGTGTTGTTGGATAGAAACTCCATTGGAAGCTTGTTTTTCCATGTGAGAGTCTTTGTCTTCCATTAAGATGTATTAGCCATAAACATGAAAACCGTTTTGTCAACTAAATGTGAAATACTCGTTTATGGTAATACGTCGTCATGAAAGATTGTTCTATCTTTATTTGTGGGTATGAATGATGATATTGTGATAAAAATGAGTTGATTATGTAAGGCATTAACGATTATGTTTTGGGTTACCTTATTGTGGTAAGGAATAAGATATATTGTGATTATGACATTGATGTGATATTTTATATTATGGTGAAGTCGTGATGTGAGAATGACATAGTGAAACTGATTATAGTGTGGGTTGTATTGTTGCATTGGCATGAGAGCGATTTAAATTGATTGTGAGAGTGATATTAGGAATGTACAAGTGTTATGTGGATTTGTTATTAAATTTATAGGCTCAAGTTATGTAGCAATGAATGTCTTGCTCTAAGTGGTATTAGCTCTATGTAGCAATGAATTTCTTGCCCTAAGTGGTATTGGCTCTATGTAACAATGAATGTCTTACCCTAAGTGGTATTGGCTCTATGTAGCAATGAATGTCTTGCCCTAAGTGGTATTGGCTCTATGTAGCAATGAATGTCTTGCCCTAAGTGGTATTTGACTCTATGTAGCAATGAATGTCTCGCTCTAAGTGGTATTGGCTCTATGTAGCAATGAATGACTTGCCCTATGTGGTATTATATTGCTTTAAAAGTATTATATTACCTTTGGTTATGGAGTTGTCGTTGTGTATTGTGAGTGACTATGGTATGGTGATTTTGATGGAGATTGGATTGGGTGAATTGTATAAGTGATATATGATAGATATACTAATTGAAGATGTGAATATCCTATGGTATAAGTTATAGATTGCGTGCATCAATTGTATATGTTGATACGGTTGATTTTAATTGTTGTATAGGTTGTAGCACTTTAATGTTATTACTCTATGTAATTTCACGTTGCGGTCGCCGTAGTTGGTTCTTACTCCTTCTGTGTTTTCCTTGTCTATGCTATATATTTGAGTTTATGTCATTGTTATTGCGCCTCAGATGTCTGCTGATGGGAGTACAGACTAGAGTAGTTGTTTTATGTGTTCGAAAGTGTATTTATATAATGTATGTAATATGAGAAACATGTTGAAGTAATTCTTTTTGTATAAATGACCTCTTTCTAAAGATGTAATAAGACTAGTATGAAGACCTTAATAAGTGATTTAATTGAAAATGGATAATTGTATAGATTATGGATCTAAGGTTGAGTGAAATGACATGTTTTGTTGTAAAGACATATTTGAATATTTCCACATCTTGAATTATGAATCTTAACTAATATTTGAATTCACTCAGGTTTTCTAAATTAGTTAAGTAATATCTATCGATAGTATTTCATTTCGTTTTTCATATTAAAGTTTTAAAAAAAAATTGGGTTATAAAATCGGGCTGTTACAATTTGGTATCAGAGCAGTTCTTTCCTACCCGACTTGAGGTTATGGTCTCATAAATTATTTATCTGTGTGACTCTAAAGTGTTTACTTGTTTGTTTTGTCGTGGTTCTCGGCTTAATCTATGATGCATTTTCTTTGTTATGACAATTACGATTTCTTATTTTGGATTTCCTGTTGAATTTTGATAAGATTACAGAAATCAAAGTCAATCAAAAGATTAGGCATGTGTATAAAAGAGGAAATAGGAAGGTTTGGAAGTTAGATAACTAACTCAACTGTTTTTGTCAGTCAGTTAGTTAGTTACTATTTTGAGTTGTTATTAAATAGAGTTAGCTAGAAGAGTTAATTAGGAAATTATAGAATAACCCAACTGATTGTGGAATCAGTGGTTGATTGTGGAATCAGTGGATCGTGGGATCCTTGTAATTCATCACCATGTATTCTTCTTCTTCTCTGTCAATAAAAACTTCCTTTAGAGCCCTGCCAATAACCTCCAGGTTTGGCTTAGGGACGTTTCCTTTCATTTCTTTCTATCTTTTCTACTTACTGTTGGTACCAGTGTTATCACTGGTATCAGAGCACCATCTTGGTGCCTGCAAGGGAAAAGGAACCACCACCATCCAAGCTGCTGCAAGTTTATGGTCTCTACAAGAAGTCACACAAGAACCATGGAAAATTGGGTACAAGAAAAGGAGGAGATGAGAAGCGGGATAGAACTGAATGAAGCTAGAACAAAGAAAACTGAGGACTTACTTGTTGCTATAGCTTTGAAGCTAGGAATCACTGTTGGGGAAGAAGACAGTGGAGACAATGAAGAAGTAGAGAGCCACGCAGTCCAATCAATAGGTGACAAATGGAGAAAGTTAGAAATCTCTATCTTTATGGGAGAGGATGCTTGTGGCTGGGTACAGAAGTTGGAAAGATATTTCTCCATGAGAGATGTGGTTGAGAAAGAAAAGATGAAAGCCACTGTTGTAGCCTTGGAAGGTAAGGCTCTGAGTTGGTTCCAGTGGTGGGAAGGTTGTAGCCCCTCACCCACTTGAGACAGTTTTAAATTGGCAGTAGTTAGAAGGTTTCAATCTTCTATGGTCCAGAATCCCTTTGAATTGCTATTGTCTCTTAAGCAAGAAGGAAGGGTGGAAGCTTATGTAGAAGAATTTGAGAAGTACTCTAGAACCCTAGGAGGAACTAATCAAGAATTCTTGAAGGGGGTATTTCTGAATGGGCTGAAGGAGGCTATAAGGATGGAAGTGAAACTTTATAAGTTGCCCACTATTCAAGATATCATCCATCAGGCTATCCTAATTGAGCAAAAGAACCTGAGTATGCAGAAGGAGGCTACAACAGGTTATGGTAGGAATAATGGTGCTACCAGAGGAAATTCCCACAATAGGGTGGTCACCTTGGACCATGTTGCAGCAAACAGCAACAAAAGAGAAGCTTCTTCTGTGGGGAGTGTGGTAGGATTTTCCAAACTCCTACCAGAGACAGAAACTTCTAAAGGGTTAGGTGATTATAAGAGACTCTCTAGTGCTGAAATGAGAAAGAAAAGGGAGAAGAGACTATGCTTCAGATGTGATAAACCCTTCTCTAGAGAGCACATGTGTAAAAACAAGCAGTTCAAGATGTTACTCCTAATTGATGATGATGATGATGAATATGAGCTGGGAGAAAAGGCAGAGGTTCAACAGTTCAATTCCCTGCAATTATCATTGTACTCCATGACAGGTTTGACTTCTACTAGGTCATGGAAGGTAGGGGGTAAGGTAGGAGGAAGGCCAATTGTGGTTATGATTGATTGTGGTGCCTCCCATAACTTCATATCCCAAGATCTAGTTGCTGAATTGTAGATCCAGGTGAAACCTACTAAAGCTTATGTAGTAGAAGTGGGTGATGGACATCACATCCAGTGTCAAGGCAAATGTCCTCAGCTAGCACTTTGTCTTCAACAACTAGAGGTAATTCAAGACTTTTACCTTTTTGCTTTGAAGGGTGTTGACATGGTGTTGGGTCTGGAATGGCTAGCTAGCTTAGGGGAAGTGCGGACAGATTTTGGTAGAATGATGCTAACTGTTAAAAAAGAAGGTGTCATCATCACCATAGTGGGTGACCCTGCTCTAACCAAGGTTGAGGTTTCAGTTGGTGCTTTTATGCGATTATTGCTGGAAGAAGGGGAAGGATTATTGTTGCAATGTGACAGAACTGATGAGCCAGATAGTCTGATGCCAACAGAACTAGAAGGGGTTTTGCACAATTTCCAGAAGGTTTTTGAAGATATTGAGGGATTACCTCCTACTAGGTCACATGACCATGCTATCCACTTGAAGGAAGGTGTTGATATCCCTCATCTGAGGCCATACAGGTGTCCTTATTATCAGAAGGCTGAAGTAGAAAGGTTGGTTGATGAGATGCTTAGGGCAGGGGTTATTAGACCTAGCATTAGCCCTTATTCAAGCGATATTCTGTTAGTTAAGAAAAAAGATGGGGGCTGGAGGTTTTGTGTTGATTACAGAGCCTTAAACAAGGCCACTATCCCTAATAAGTTTCCCATACCATTGATTGAGGAGCTACTAGATGAATTGGGACAAGCTAAGGTGTTTTCCAAACTTGATCTCAAATCTGGATATCACTAGATCAGGATGAAGGCTAAAGATATAGAGAAGACAGCCTTTAGAACTCATGAAGGCCACTATGAGTTCATGGTTATGCCTTTTGGCCTAACCAATGCTCCCTCCACTTTCCAGACCCTAATGAATGAGATTTTAAAACCTCATCTAAGGAGATTCACCCTAGTCTTCTTTGATGACATTTTGATATATAGCCCAGATTTAAAGTCTCATTGCCAACATTTAGGGATTGTGTTGTCTATACTCAGGGATAATTCTCTAAGGGCCAACTTCAAGAAATGCAGATTTGGTCAGAAGGATATAGAATACCTAGGCCACATTATTTCAGAGGGCCAATTTTTTGTTGATTCATCTAAGGTGGCAGTTGTGGAGTCCTGGCCTGTTCCCAGCAACCTTAAGAGATTAAGAGGGTTTTTAGGGTTAACAGGTTACTACAGGAAATTTGTGAAGGGCTATGGCAAGCTGGCTAGTCCCCTCACTGACTTACTGAAGAAAGACTCTTTTAAGTGGTCAGTTGAGGCCAATTCAGCCTTTGAACAACTGAAGGCCACTTTGTTGCAGCTACCTAAATTAGCCATCCCTGATTTCAACAAGGCTTTTGTAGTAGAGACAGATGCTTCCAGTAAGGGGTTGGGTGTTGTGCTTATGCAGGAGGGCAGGCCTTTGGCTTTCTGGAGTAAAGGATTATCCTTAAGAGCTCAGCAGAAATATGTTTATGAAAGGGAACTCATGGCTCTAGTACAGATTGTTCAAAAATGGAGGCATTATCTTTTGGGGAGGCACTTTATTATCAAAACTGATCAGAGGAGCCTTAAGTTTTTTGTAGAACAAAGGTTGTTTTCTGATGAACAATTCAAGTGGCAGTTAAGTTGATTGGGTTGGATTTTGAAATCCAATATAAACCTGGTAAGGACAACTCAGCAGCTGATGCACTTTCTAGAAGATTAATGTACACTACACTCTCTGTAATATCCCATGAAGACTTAGACAATTGGGCCAGTGACTTGAGTTTGGATCCTAAATGGAAGAAGGTAGTGCAGGAGTTATTGATTTCTTCCACTAGCCATCCTGACTTTGAGCTAAGACAAGGGGTTTTGTACTTTAAAGGCAAACTGGTTTTAGCTAAATCCTCTAATAGGATCCCTGTCATTCTTTCTGAGTACCATGAAACACCTACAGGAGGGCACTCTAGTTACTACAAAACCTACAAGAAGATTTCAAGTTTTCTATTTTGGGATGGAATGGAATCAGATATCAAGACCTTTATTGTTGGGTGTGATACTTGCCAGAGAAATAAATACTCCACATTAGCTCCTGGAGGTCTCTTACAACCTCTACCCATTCCTTTGCAAGTGTGGATGGATATATCCATGGATTTCATTGGTGG